AAAACTTTATTATTATTTTTATTAGTTTATTTATATTTTATTAATATTTATTTATTATATAATGTTATATTGTATTTAATATATTATTATATTATTATATAAGATATTTTATTTATTATATTTTTATATTATTTAATAAATATTGCTAACATATTAAATTAACTATAATATAGTATAGTATAGTATAATATAATAAGCATGTTGATAATAACTTTATATTAATTATATTTAATATATTATATTAACACATTCTCAAACTCAAAACCAAAATACCTAAAATATGTTTTGAAACAAGTGTTGTGTTTTTTGTTTGATGATGATTTAGCTCAAAAAACACCATGGTTTTCAAGCGCATAGTGTTTTTTTTTTTACACCATAAAAAAAAAAGTAAAACACCATGATATCCAAACTGAACCTAAATTATGAGGAAGCTCGTTTTCTTCCCGATGCGCTAACAGAAAAGAATAACGAGTAGACTTTGACTTCAGTTCAAGCAAGTCCTACCAGCTTTTATTGCGTCAATTTCAATTTTTGTACATCAGATTTTATATCAACATTGATTGATTCTTTTAACAATAGCCTGAACCTCCATAAAGCGGACTTCAAACACCGAAGAGATTAATTTGAAAGAAACAAAGAATTACACAACCAATATAACCATGGGCCACCACACTTAATCTAACGTTAATTTCTTTACCCTTGGTCTTTCAAATCCAATCTAACTTATTAAAAAGCTTTACCTGGTAAAATTCAAACATACCCTAATAATATAATCGTATAAAGTTACTTTCTGACGTCACCTAATTCTATTCTGCCACGCGGCACAAAGTTATTAATCATGTTCATTAAATTAATTAACATGTTAGGAATAAATTATCATCATTACACATGATAATTAATCAAGCTTAACTACATTATAAAAACCACATTATTGCGCGTATTATTCCACTGGGACAAACGCACTAGATTACACTAATTAATGGTTCAATCCAGGATTAACGTGTGGACTCCTGTGTTCGAGTATTGTCACCCTTCGATTTTATATGTCTATTGAGGATAATATTGATACTAGAGGGCTTATAACTTCGCTTAGCCAAATACTCTACTTTAATGATAAAACAAACAAGTAACACTAAACAAGATAAGTGAGAGAGAAAACATGGTGAAGGATATCCTAAGCATTTATCCATGTCTCGATAAAAAATAACACACAATACTCTATAAAGAGGATTGACCTATTTCGACGTAACCCCAACAAGCTTGAAAATATCAGTCAGCCCTTAAAAGTTCTAAATGCTTTTGAATTTATCCTCAGAGAACCCTAGTTTTTTTAGTTATCCCAAAAAGATTGGGGTTTTGCGAGTTAAATCTCAAAATAAATCTTCTTGTGTATTTAAGGGACCAAAGATCGCAAACATGCCGATATAGAAATGAATTATGTTGAGCGGAATAATTTCAATCCAGCAAAAGGCCAGGAGTCCCGTCATTTTATCAACTCAATGTATATATATAATTTACTAGTGGACCAAAATTACTTTTGGAAAACGTTTCATGTGTTCTTGGAGCATTCAAATTCAAAGGTAAGGTTGCTTCTTGTCAAAAGGGCACACTTGTCACGTATACCTGTAACCCACCACTTGTACTTTAATACATTGTTTAGGCCATTGTTATGACGGTGAAAATAAAATAATATATATATAACAAAATTTATTTTTAAATTCATTTGTTGGTTCTTCCAGGAGCATATGACTCATCATGTATCGAGCAGATTCTGTACAATTCTTCAAGCTCCTAAGAAAAACATAAATTTTAAAAATATTTTGATAGACATTGACATTCCCTCTCTTAAAATTTCTCTCAAATCTTTTCATTAAAAAAAATCAGATACGAAGATTGGTTCTTCCGAAAAAGAAATTAAAATGTAAAATGTTTTTTTTTCACATATACATATAGGAGTACGAATCCCTATCAGAACGTCACGAACAGTGAGTATCATTCTGAACCTAGCGATCAGAATAATGTGGAGGCATTTTAGTGATTAGCAGGGCTCATGTATTAATGGTCCAAATTATTCCTCACGTGATATGTTCTAATAGAAAACTTACTCTATAAGAAGTATATATCTTATAACCTAAGATAGTGTGTACATTTAAAAACTAAAGTAGGGTAACTAATTTTTTTTCATGTATTTTTTTATGTTTGACGGAGTAAGGGATATTAACTCTCTTAATCTCACATTTAATCTTTGTCCCACTATACCTTAAGCATCAAACTCCTTATGAAAATTTCTACAATCGAAATCATATTGCTTTAGTGATCTGTTAAGTATAATGCCACCTATCAGTTTATCGAAATAAAAGTTTAACAAATTTTTGAAAAAATAAACATATCCCGTGTATTACAAATAAAATAATGATGAAAAGCGTGGGGATTTTGGTACATCGATGCTGGTTGCTTCTTTGACTCCGTCTGGTGACCTGCAGGTGTCAGCGGGACAGAAAGCGGGGATGTTTCCTCTTCTCCTCCCTCCCCTGCTCTAAAATTTCCTCCATCTATTTATTATAATAAAACTCTTATTATATATTACAAATTAATAAGCAAGATATTACATACGGTTATTTATTATGGGAGATCTCCTTTTAATTCTCCGGATCTTCACAACAGAGCCCAAAAAAAG